TGTCTGGTGCCTAAAAAGAGATTTACTTTTTGAAATTCAAATCATGCATAGCCGAGTGATGTTCGGCAGGGACTCTCCGTAAGGTTCATCTTAGTAGGGCCTCCTTCCTGCCGTCTGTGCAAAGCACCTTTGGTCTTTATGCCTGTAACAAGAAAATTGATAATAAACAAAAAGTGGGCAATTTAATGTCGCAATAATTCAACATCAGAGCTAATAAACCTTGAACTCGGTAAATTGATGAAATAGGCAACCTTGTGAGAAACGAAAATAAAAATCTATTCTATGAAAGTACATACTGACAGTTTTACTCACTAAATAATAATAATAATAATGTGTTTTATTCCCGTTACAAATACATATAAATTATATATACAAATGATATAAAAAACATTAAAGCTACATTAATACCGTTTGTGCACGTCAGTTTAAAAGTTGAAAGACAGGCGTACATAATGCGGAGAGATAGTCGGATCGAGAAGTACGATAATGAAGTAAAATTCGTTAAGTACGCTTTTAATTTGTGAAAATAAGCCTATGATTGAATGTAAAAGTTTTCTGAGAACATTTGCAGATCATTAAATTGGAAAATGAAAAAAAAAAAAACAATACGCTGCGAACTTCACTTTCAAAGTTCTATTATGCACGAAAAGCATTATAGAGAATTCGTGAGGAAAGTTGTGTCACGTGAAAGATTGTTCCCGCTAAATTTAGAGTGAGATGAATGGTTGTCAAGGCCACGCCATTTCCCTCGATAAATTTAGCGGATAAACAGGAATGGTGTCTGGGTCACAAGGCGCGAATTTTTCCTCTAAAAATAACTGGAAACTGAATTCATATTTTTGGACACACGCTGTACATTTTCCAGCAAAACATAGGGGGGGGGGGGGGGGGGGGGGGGAATGAGCTGAAGTGTATGTCACGTGCCGTCATTTTCCCAAGGTGTATAAATCACGTGACGCCACATGACGTCATATTGTCGACTAAATTAGAGGCAAATGCTCGGACGGAGAAACGAACGGACAAAATTTTTCAGATTGTGGGATAGAGTGAAAAAGAATATAATGCTTTAATAAAAACTTCGGAGCGCGTGGAAAATACGGTAGTGCGCTAGAGGTACCTCTCCTGCAACCAGCGCTAATTTAACAGTGCGAAATTACCGATGATAAAATTTTAAAAACTTCGCTGGCGCGTTGGCGCTTCCCACGTGCTTTAATTGTTTCTGGTATTGGCGTTTTTAGTAGTTTTCATTGAGGCTCAGCAAGTTTGTCAATACAATAATGTATTTATTTTAAAGCTTAAAACGATGTTTAACAAATTTTAGTTATCTAATGAACTTCTCGCCAAGATGATCTTCTAATGTTTGTCCCGGGTACGTAAGCACACCAGCAAAAACCGCATCTTTCCAACTATAACGGCTTTTTTTGCCTGCAAAACAAATTCATTCTTCTAAGAATATCGAGTGTTGCCAGGAAGACTAAGCAATTCCTAAACATAGGTCGTTCATAAGGGAAAAAATATAGGGAAGACAGAGGAAGGCAAAACGGACGCCAAGGAGTGTAAAAAGAAATATAATTGTTTTTAAACTAATCACCTAACAGGCTAATATAATATTTTGTTAGTGGAAGTTAACAACTTTCAACTAGCAAAAGCTTCATGAGCGCCATCGAAAGCTTCGGAACCAGCAAATACCACGACGTGAGAAGCGAGGGGGTGCACTAACGTTACCTCTCTTCAAGCAGGAACCAAACAGTCCCATAATGCTGATGATAAGAATATCGTCCTCGTTATGGCACCGCCAGTTTTGTCCTGCTGCGCAAGCAGAAAATTCAGTGTACCTTCGCTATCCCCTCGAGCTTTAAATCTTTCTAAAATTCATATGACAATAACCGATCTTATACTACAAAACTTTCAATACCAACTGGAATGCTGCCTTTTTCTCAGGGCATCTTTATTTTAACAAATATCTGCTGCTGAAGTACATGTTGTTCCCTCTAGGTCTTTAAAAATAAGTTATATTTTCATTGCTGATAACATGTGTGGCACCGAATATTCAAAGCACGAGATGAATATAAATGCAAAAGCTCAACAACAGCATAACGACGAAAATAATCCCTGGAAAAGGGACACAAGGGGGACAAAGGACAAATACTGTTTGTCCTTTGTCCCCCTTGTTCCCCTTCTCCAGGGATTATTTTCGTCATTCGTGTCTAGCTCACGTAAACATTTGCATTCAATTGCATTATAATAATAAAAAAGCATAACGTTTAAAAAAATACACAAACTAATTCTCGTACTTAACAGCAAAAAACAAGACACATAATAAAGAACCATGAACATAATGTACGGATAAATGCGGAGTCATTCATTTGCTACCGAACTACGCTATATTCGGAGAAGTTTACCATTGCAATAAATGACTTCAGTATAGTTATCGTTTTTTTAAACGCTGTTTTGCAAATCTTGTTTCGTTCGTTTCTGTTTCTGAGTCACTCGTGTCGGTCTATATCTTAGTGTCTGCAGCAGGTTGCGAAAAAAGAATGTCAGTTACGATTCTTCACCAAGCTGTACCAGACTGTAACGAGACATTCACCAAGGAACTTTAACTTAATAAAAGTGTCCTACACTTAAACAACGCCCCGTCACTCTTTGTCTGGTAATGGACAAGGATTTAACCAACATGTAGTCTTGAAGGCACGTGAGGCTCCCAGTTCACCAACATGGTAAAAGTTTATAGGTGCTTCGCTCTTTGCAGAAAATATTATATGATATTTAATGCTTTTTGAGAAGCTTACTTCTAAAAGTTTTTACAAACAAATTTTTATTTGCGGTTGCCTTTAGGCTTTATTGATCCTAATAAGTGAGTAAATACACTGAAACACCGAACAATGAAGCTTTTGTTTCCATGACCGAAAATCATTCTAAAAGTTCGCCCGTAACAAAAACGATGCCCCATTTTTTATCCAAAAGCTTAAACATTCACACTAGAAAAAAAGCTTTTAGATTTTTTTTTCATTCACTCCCTCAGTCTTTAACATAAAATGCTGCGAAGCATGGAAATGTCCTGAGCCCGAGGCCTAGCTACCACCCAAAGAATATAAAAATCTACAAATATAATGGATTATTTTCTAAATTTACATGTCGTTTATTAAAAAATGGGAATCACTGCACAATTTTGGAACAACTGACATCTTGGGACGCGGAAGTATTTCTTAAAATAGCGAACATCGGAGCGCGGTCGACGCTAGGAGCCCACGAGCCATTCAAACAGCGTCGAAAGTGCAACGCCACTGCGCTCAACAACATTTTCTGTGAGTGTGTTTTTGTTTTCCTGCTTTCCATTCCAACCCAAGACAAAACTGTGCCGTGACGTTCAGGTTTTAGACCGCTATTGAACAGGGACTGCGCAGCTCCCAACAAAGGGGAGTCTTTCACAAGGGGTCTCTAGGATTTCACGGCTAAATTATTAAGGGGTAAATAGTACATTCAACCTACGCTTACACAAAACCAAATGTGTAAATTTCAAACAATGTTCTGAGTCCATAGTTAAGTAGCCAGCTTATAACCCATTTTTTCCGAAGACCTGCTCTGGACAAATCACGTAAAACATCTCTGCTCTAAATTAGGCAAAGCCGCAGGAATTATAAATAAGAATAGGCACGTTCTTCCATCCAGCGTAAAAAAGGTTTTGTACAATTCCTTATTTTATTCTCATTTATGTTACTGCACCCTTATCTGGGGTAGCACGTCTTTCTTAAACTTGCATATAATACACTTATTGCAAAAAAAAAGTGCTAAGAATAATAGGTAACGTACATACATCATACGGATTCACTGTTCAAGTCATGCAAGATTATTAATATTCACCAAATCTATAACTATCGTTTGACGATGGCGTATAAATAAGCGGCATTAGGACGCTCAAATGTAATTATTCAACTGTCTGATTTGAAAGAAAAATGTGATTATTATTCATCGAGAAATCACCAGCCCTGGCAAATTCCGAAATGTAGGACAAACTATGGAAAACAAAAAAATAAGTTATGCTTTACCGTCTATCCTGAACGAATATTTTGTTAAAAACATAGATATTGTGCAATTGTCCAACAGCCAAATATTCAATTTGTTCATTTGATGTTTCTCTTTCTTGACCCGTATTTACTCCGTCGTAGCTGCTGAATGGGGGGCCCGGAGCCTCGTCAAGCTGCATTTGTGCAGCTTTTTCTTCGGCCTCCCATCCACCACTTGTATGTGAGGTGAAAAATAAAGTTTGTACCGTATCGTATCGTATCGTATCTTTTTCCTTGTGGCCACCATAAACACCAACTTACTAGATGGCTTAAGACAACACTAAAACAATGAAAAAATGGTTAAAGTGCAGGCGAGCTGGTGTAAGTTATACATGATGATTGAAAGCCTGACTTTTTGAGACGTTGTCTGTCTCTTTTTCTTTCTACGTCACGCGTTTTCGTTTTTTAAACCACAGACTGAGGTTTTCAATCATCAACTAGAACTATATCGCTTTTTGAATAAAAAAAAGATAAAAAAATAAAAACTTTACTCCGTGAAAACGCCTGCAAACACGGGTGCAAGTTTTGTTGGAATGTCGATAGTAGGGAGCCACTGGAAAGCCACATCGACAAACCTTATGCCGGCTTGCGGATAAATGTGCATTTGGTGTTTTGTTCCTGTTTATTTCTGCGTACTTTGTCGTACATAACGCGCTCTCAATGCTTTTAAACGTACTTATCCTCACTAATCAGCCAATCACATGTAATACTGCACGCACACTACACCTAACCTGCCAATAAGATAAGGTAAATCACAACAGTCGAGCTTCACTCGTCTCTTGCCATTTTTATCGTTATAATTTTTTTATTCTGACCCCCTGTATAAAACACAGCAACATTGACATTAAAAAAAGTAATGTTATAACCGCATGCTCAACGAGCATCCACTATCTCGGGGAACTGTAGTTGCGAGCAAATATCAAAATATCTTACATTAGGCATCTCTTCATCTGGTTATAGACGCAGTGAGAAAAGACAGGGCGTCCTGGCATATTCACTATATTAGGTGCCATCAGATATCCTGCATTGGGGCCGCAGGAAAGACCGTCATTTCCAGCGCCTTCTCGTTCGTGTGCCATTCCCAATCTGCATGTCGTAAGAAACACAAAAGACAGAAGCAAAGGCGTAAAGTGCACATCTCTTAAAATGATACGCTTCTGTATCGTACTTTTTAACCGACACCCGATTCGAGTACCATAACAAATAGCTGAATTCTGTCGATCTAGAAGATCTATACTGTATTCGAACATCGCGCTCCCGGAGACCAATCGCCCGTTTTCCGCTTTCTTAGTTTTCGATGGATTTAAAGGGTGCTATAAGGTGTTGTGTCAATTAATTGTCATGTGACTGACACATGACCTTCGAGAGTAGCGCTGCGAGGAGCAAGTGCGTAGTCCAGACGTTCGCAGCGCTGTAGTGCAGGGATGGCTCATAGCGGTCCACGGAATTCATTGTACGGCGAAGCACGGTATGGTTTAGAAACGATCTACGAAAAAGCTTTATATATATACATATATATACGGAGAGGGGAGAAGGAGATTATTAAATTTATTGCATTATATATACGGTGCAGCCTGTCCCTATGGGGAGGAGTGGTTCCCTAGATATCTTGGAAGACAGGCCCTTTTCCGATATTTGCAAAGCTGAGATGACGTGCCACGTCACTGCCACAATTCTGAGCTAGCGCAGGCCTTAAATCAGCAGTAGTTGTCGTCTACCCAGTTAAGCGAATTCGAAACTAATTAGTACACAGAGAGCTGGTCATAAATTGAGTCCGCCGAAACCAGTGGCCGGGATGGTCTAATTGGTTAAGGCGTCGCCCCGGACAGGCGAAGGTTGCAGGTTCAATCCCCGCTCCTGGCCTAATTTTTCGCCAGCTCTCCTTCCCTTTTCCTCTCCCTAACTTTAATCCAATAAATTTAATAATCACCTTCTCCCCTCTTCGTTCACAATATTACTACGGCTGCACTTGTCAATCTTCATTCATTCCCATTATATATACGGTTATGATTAAATGCAATTAAATGCGAAAGTGCAAGCGAGCTGGACAAGAATGATGAAAATAATTAAAATAATCCCTGGAGAAGGGGAAAGAGAGGGACAAAGGACAAACACAAATCTCCAAACACAGCTAGGTGACTGGTGCGCGACCGAAAAAATCCGCCTGGTTCGGGTATTGAACCCAGGACCTCTGCATTAGAGGTGGAGCGCCCTACCAACTGAGCTAACCAGGGATTAGACGTCAGTAGAGCAAACCGGTTTTATCAGCTGCCATCAGTCTAACACCAACAAGGGTGAAGTTGCAAGTTTCACCCTTGTTGGTGTTAGACTGGTGGCAGCTCATAAAACCCGTTTGCTCTACTGACGTCTAACCTCTGGTTAGCTCAATTGGTAGAGCGCTCCACCTGTAATAGAGAGGTCCTGGGTTCAATACCCGGAAAACGCGGATTTTTTCGGTCGCGCACCAGTCACCTAGCTGTGTTTGGAGATTTGTGTTTGTCCTTTGTCCCTCTTGTTCAACTTCTCTAGGGATTATTTTAATTATTTTCATATATACGGTGCAGCCTGTCCCTATGGGGAGGAGTGGTTCCCTAGATATCTTGGAAGACGGGCCCTTTTCCGATATTTGCAAAGCTGAGATGACGTTCCACGTCACTGTCGCAATTCGGAACTAGCGCGCGCCTTAATTCAGCAACGGTTGTCGTCTACCCAGTTAAGCGAATTCGAAACTTATAGTACACAGAGAGCTGGTCAGAAAATGAGTCCGCCGAAACCAGTGGCCGGGATGGTCTAATCGGTTAAGGCAGTGGTTCTGAACCACTGATGTTTCGCGGACCCCTTGTACATCGGCGGATATGATGGAGGACCCCATTCGTCTTGAGGGGAAGGAAAAGTTGTTGGTTGATTATTATAGTGATTTAGTAACTGGATATAACTAAGGGCTAGTGTGAAGTAGATATCTCTTATTGACATATGCACGAGAAAGCTCTCCCCCATTTCGAGCGTTTATTCTCAATCTTAAAAAAAAAACAAAAAAAAAACTTTTATTGCTGGGAGGCAGGGCTTCGCGGACCCTTAGGATGCCTTCGCGGACCCCCGTTTGAGAACCACTGGGTTAAGGCGTCGCCCGGACAGGCGAATGTTGCGAGTTCAATCCCCGCTCCTGGCCCAATTTTTCGCCAGCTCTCTTTCCGTTTCCCTTTCCCTAACTTTAATGCAATAAATTTAATAATCACCTTCTCCCCTCTTCGTTCACAATATTAATACGGCTGCACTTGTCAATCTTCACTCATTCCCATTATGTATAGATAATGTGACGATGAAGACGACGACGCTGCGGCAGTGGTGTGAACTTCTATCGCGCGCTAGGGCCACGTGCTAGGCCCTAGCGTCTAGCACGTGAAGCCGAATCATTAAATGATTCGGCTTCATTATGCGAAAATCCTTGTCTTCTACTGCCGGCCCCCGCATCTCCGTAAAATTTGGTGGAGCTGCGGGGTACCGATCATCCCGTTTACCCCCATTAACCTTGACGCCGTCTGTGGAAGCGCTCCGCCGTATTTGACTGATCTCCAACCCACAGTTCTGCAACTCAACCTCCGCCTCAATGATGCCATGAAGATAGGACGACATGAACTGACAGACGTAAGCGAGGAATCATTAAGAGTGTTACGTGATGACTTGAGGACGCGATTGCGAGACGATGATTGTGACGACTGAGAGCTACGAGAATTGACAATCTCCTGCCCCGTCCCCAGCCCAATCTTGTGACGGCATGACGGACGTTCCCAAGCCTGGACAGTGTCGTCGCGGTGCTGTGACTGGTGCTTCGGTCGGTAATGCTGCTAGAGCCTCTTCCGACCATGGAACTGCGACAGGTTCTAATATTTCGCGGCAGGCAGCAGTGCTTTGTCCATCTGTCTTCATCTCTTTCGGTTGTGTTTGCGTGCATGTTTCCCTTGCGTGTTCTTCATTCATCGGACGGGTCGTCCTCTTTCAAGGAGAGGGATAATGTGACGATGAAGACAACGACGCTACGACAGTGGTGTGCACTGCTATCGCGCGCTAGGGCCACGCGCTAGGCCCTGCCGCCATTAAATGATTCGGCTTCATAATGTGAAAATCCTTGTCTTCTCCTGCCGGCCCCCGCATCTCCGTAACAATATCTACATATATATGTATATTAAAAACATACAACCTCCAAACGTTTTCTTATGTTTGTTTCAAGCAATGCTTGGACAGCATTTCGTTTCTTTGCGTTCAACCAGGTTACGCTGTTTTTTTTAAACGGTTACTTTATGAGTACAATGCGCTGATGCCTCGCCTGCGAGTACTTTACTTAGGTTCTGGGTTTTTTTTAAGCGCCTCGTTGACCTGCATGTTGCATAGGCTTGTGTTTGTGATAAGACATTCGGGTCACCAAACAAAGAAAAAAACGTACATTTTTTCTCCTGTCTCGTTTTCCAAACCTGGATTTGAATAATATTCGTTATTTTTTTAAGTTTAAAGCAGATGACGCCGAATAGAAAGCACTTTATGTCGCATTCACTTTTTTTTCGCCTGACTTTTTTATTTCTTTTTTTTTTTTTTTTTTGCGGCACGATTTTGTAATGGTAAGTGTTTAGCCAATAAGTCGAAGATTGACGGATACTGTCACGATCGCCATCAGCATGCACGCTGAATTAATTTTCCAATTGTTATGCATTGCGATAATGCAATCTTTTCTGCTTGTTATTTGTATGTACTAACCGATAGCATAAACTATATGAAATATCAAGTCGTTGTTGTCTAACTCCGTCCAAGCGTAGGCACCTTACGCTGCCTTGCGCGTATTGCGCATATACTGTAGAACGGTGGATTTCTACGCTAGTTAGTTGTTGAACAGAATTATTAAAACATCGCAATATGACAGGACAAAACTAGGAACACACGAGGTCTGACCTGCGTCTGTCCTGTTTTGCTCCTTCTAATTTTGTAGCGTCCTTTTGCGCCGTTTTTAATAAAGTCGTCTAACTGTCTGTAGCTCGACCATTTTCATTACTTAAAATATTAGATACTGCCAAAGTTCGGGAATAAATACGTGAATGTCTGTACCTCTAAAAAAAATCGGATTTTTTACATTTTCCTTGCGACAAATGCCGAAGAGAAAAATTCCAGTACCACATTCAGATCAAGCCGGGTAACGGTTTTTTCACTTGAAACCGATCATTCTACATTCACAATAAATGAGCGTTGTTATTAGTTGCAATCTTTGAACAATGCATTTTAAGTCTTACTGGTGTTTTCTTGTCCGCTTCTTTTCAAACACTGAGACACGTTCACAAAGTTCTGAACCACACGAATAAATGACTAGAAAAAACATTCGTCGAGTGGGGTTACACCTTTAGCGTCACTTGTTTTTCTCCCTGGTTTGAGAAGAAAGCAAGGTATTCAATCTCACGAAATGAAGATAGTAAAAAATTAATACGATTAAAGTAATATTTTACTCTTCACTTGAAATAAGTATAATCATTGTTTCGTTGTGATGAAATGTTTTAATAAATAAATAAATAAAACTCTCTGGGCGTAAATATTATCATACTTTTAATTTGTTTGCCATGCAATTTTATCCTAAAGACTGCTTTCAAGCAAAAAATCTTATGCCAACGTTACTTTAGGTATTGACATTCACAAAAAAGAATATATATATATTTATATATATATATATATATATATATTGCATTGTGTCCTAAATATGTAACCTGAATTTGTAAGCGCAGTACCTGTGTGTGTGATAGGCGCGCTAACTGAAGGTAGTTAGAGAGTGTTGTGTAAACATTTATACGTGTGTTTCTGGTTCTGTGCTGTTATAATATTTCCAATATTAAAGTTTCATGTTAGTGCGCTAAAAGCACCATAATCATCGCCAATAGTCGCCAAAAATGCATGGGCAGCCCCAGTCTAAGGTATAGATATGGCCGGGTATGAACCAGTTCGCTTGCGGTGGAAACTGTAACCCAGCCCTTGATTCGCTCGCCTGACTCAACGAAAATGAAACAGGAAAGAAATATAAATCTACTGAACCGGAAGCTTAACAAATCCGGAATAAAAGCCGGCTCGATACCTAGTTTTTAATGTGAAGTTATTGCTGCTCTCATTCTTCTTTTGTGTTGATAGGCTACAGTGCGCACATGATATTAATATTCCAAGAACGGATGGGTATTTTAAATGACTGCAGGGCAAAATGTCATTGAAGAAGAATGGAGATGAGTATATTAAAAGAAAATACTTACTGCTGACCCAATTCATGGGCAATAAGTAACGCAGATGATACATCGCTCAATCCTTGAACCGCTTGAACGGTTACTTTTTGGTACGAGCAGATACCACAGGGATAGGTGCATCCTGAAAATATTCTTCTTCATATCAAACACTTTACTATCAGGATAGATGTTTCGACGTTTTCAGAATTGCAGAAATCAACTTCGTGCAAAGGCTGGGTGAGCTCAAGAATGCGTCGCGGGGATGGTGTGGCACACGGACCTAAGAAAGGGGTGGCTAAGAATTATGCTCATTAAATTATATTTAGAGTTGAACACGGTACTGTCATGAGTACGTAAATTGGAATGTATTGATTTATATATATATAACAAAAAATATGTAGATGAATAAACCGATCTTGACGGTTTTCATTTACCTGCCTGGTCCGGGCAGGTGTGCTAAACTAAAAAAACAGCCATCGTTCTTTGAATACAAATATGGCAGGATTCAACGTACCTTGTTTTTGGTGCTGCACACTATATGGTAAACTGAAGAAAAAATTGAAAATGTGAGAGAGTGGGTTAGTTATACGTGTTTTTAGAAACCAGAAACACACCTCGCTCTAAACAAATAATTATCCGTGTCTGCTCAATATTAGGGCCCTTTGCTAATCTGATTAGGCTGCTAATGTAATATCTAGCATTCATCAATATTTGTACCCATCAACACCAGTATTTTGCATCGGGCTTTTTGAAGAACAGAAAATTTTGCTAACGGCACTCTCAAACAAATCTACGCACTCTTGAACGCTTAGTTTCTGCCCAAAATATATCAGATGCCATAAATCCAACCATTGATGTTGGCACCAGAGGCAGAGATTCTAAATCTGGCCGTTTTCACCCATGCCTTAATTTAAAAAGCACGCTTTCTTTTAACGAAAGCAGACTTGCGATTTGCAAATTTACAATAAAATGCGCGTCCATTTTTTGGTAGCAGAGGACATTACGATCTATGAATTTGCAAATTTCGTTCACGCCATTTCTTTTTTTGAAATCGTCATAAATGGAATAATAGTTTTATACGCTTAAAGGTAAAATTTGAAAACTTTTCATTTGATACAAACGCCGAGAGGCACATTAGTATAAAACAGAAAGTTAGTCTAGGTGTTGGTTCAGTTTTCAGTAAAAACAAACGCAACGCCTGTCAAGAACCTGCTATATTTGTATCAAAACCGAAAGAAACGAGGTAATTACCCAATACCAGAGCTTCCGTGCCAGTTTATTATATGAATTTGCTGCCGTGCAGTGCTGCCTTAATCCACTCGTACATCCGCATGCGTCTGCTACAGCCTGCATTAAGCGGTGCAGCAACACTCAATCGAAGTACTCAAAGAGCACCAATTATTAAATAGTCCGTCGTTAGTCGTCCCAGCAGATTAGGTTATTTTGTTTAATTTAGAAAATCTTTCAAAAAATCGTAAACAAAGGTGATGCCATAACCAACATTCAAAGTTCCACCCGTGTTACAACTTCGTGATGTCACAGGAAGGCAGCATTGCACTTCGGGCACTCACTTTATAAACCAGAGCATGTCGCGTACATCTGTGCTACTTAGAGAGTGACCAACTGAGTTTTGACAGCACATTTCTCTCACGCAGTAAAATATTTTGTAATCAGTTAGGAAAGTGTTCCACAACCGAAAACACTGAACATTTGCCTAGCATTGGTGTCAGTACGAGTTACGATTCAAAACTTGACGTGGAAGAAAAAGAAGATAATTCTTGTTCATTGACGTATTGAGACCGTTTGCAGGCGTATGAGCGCACAGGAAAACAACTGGCGATAATGTGAGAGGATTATAGAAAGGCAGAGTGATTATGTTTATCTGTTGCAAAGTATTCTAACAAAGTGGCGGAGGTCTCGCCTAATAATGGTAGATAAACTGAAGAAGCGCCAAATTTTTATCCAAGCGTAATACTAGCTGCTGCACTGGCAGAGCTATACGCATAATGTGACTGTCTTTCATAATTGTGCTGATTTGCTTCATCCCCACCCCCAAGGTAGTAACTGACTGGTACTGAGGTTCTGCTTTCTCTAAAGTTCCAAAACGTTCAGTAAACAAAACAAAAAAAAAAGACGAGTAGATATACTGTCTCAGATTGTCGAACTGAAACACGCTTCAACATTACCCATATCATCATCATCTTTTAAGATTATTATTTTACATCATAACATTATTTCTGAGACTTTTCTTGTGTGACTTTTCACAACGCGCGACATTGTAAGGCCCCTTTTTCTTTGTGGATTCTTGTCCATCCTTATAATGTCAAGGTATTTTTAAGCCTGATAAAAACTTTTAAACACGATTCTTCTTGAATCGGAAGTTATATTTCTATCATTCCCCTTTTTTTTCTTTATGAACACCACTATTCTTTATTTTTTTTCAAATAAAAGCTCCTGGAGGGGTTAAGGCTTTGAAAGCATTTAATTGTATCACACATTCAATAAAGTCGAGAAAAATAAAACATGCGGCGCATATTCAGCTGCCACTTGCAGTTTTGTTTTTCTGCGTTCCGAAATCGGATGACAAGATAACTACCCCTATATTGAGAGGACGTACATGTATTAAAATTTTGCGTTGAAAACTAAAATTGTGTAAACATTTTCATTAATATATTTTTCTTCTATTCTACCGTAAAACGATCCTGTTAAATCTAGAGGTACATAAAACTCGTAAAGTTAGAGCATCAAAATGTGTCGTTTTATATTTCGTAGACTAAAAAAAATTTCCTGTGGCATTCTTCTTTCTTTTTATGATGCAAGAAGAGTAGTATGCTCGTACTTATTGATACGCAATTTCATTAGGAAAAAATGAAAGAAGGTACTGCAGCGGTTATTTTAAAAATGCCTTTTCAGATTGGAGAAAAAAATAAAATCCCACCCTACGGCCCGAACAAAACTACGCCTCTCAAAATGCTTGCAAACTGTTTAAATACGATTCTACAAACGTTTCAGAAGATGGTGTTGCCTGAATCGTAAAATTCAGCAGACAAACAAAAATAAAATTTTATGATAACCCATCCACTTAGGCCTAACGTCAAAAATCTTGAAATGACTGGTAAATAGAACACACTTAACGTCTATAAAAAAAGGTAGCTTTATTTAAAACCAGATTCAAATTGCTCAGCTTAAACCCGAAATCAGAAATGGTATTGTGGATGCCTGTCGCTATTATTTTAGTGAAAAACGTTTGTCACACAAATCTAAAGCCGTATTTTTTGCTAAGCTACCGCTAGTCTCTCATTCTCTTCAATCTCCAGTTTCCTGCGATCTGTACTTGAAATAAACAGGCCAGGAACAAAAATTGTATACTTGTTCTTGAAACATGTCAGTTGGGAAGTAAGCAGAATACTTGTCATGAAGGTAATTTGATTAATGTTGATCGCTTTAGGTTTTAGTTCCTTACCCTGAGAAAAATGCCACAACATCAGGCCTCCAAGTTTGGTTGACAAAATAATTAAGTGGCTTTATAGTGTTGCAAACCACCAAATGTCTTTCGGGAGTTAATTCTAAGTATGCTTCACTCTGAAACACATAGAAAGGCATTTCACATTAATGTTTAAGTGACGAATAAATATCATAACAGTATATTACGTACCATCAATTTATCAATACCAACAATGACAAAATGAGGCGTTGAGTTTTGCAACGCAGTGTACAGCTGGTTTACCTGCAAAAGGGAGAATTAAGGTGATCACAACAAAACCATACTAGGCTGGAAAACTTCATTTTGGCGAAATGGTCAAAATTGCTATACTGAGGCGATGAATCCAGGAAGCCTATGAAAGTGTTGGAACTCCACGTTCCGCTTCATACAAAAAGAGCAAACACAGCTCTTCGTTCGTTTACTTTTCATGAATTCAGATGCTGGATCAGTAAAAGAACATCAGATAGAAAAGAAAAACAAAATAATATGCCTATAATTTCAAGTTCACAAAGAATGCTTACACTTGTTCCGGACAGTTCAGTTGAAACGTTCCCTAAATCCTATGCAACTGATTTAGTGAACGCCGGCGAAATCATTCCTTTTAAGAACATCCATTGTTATAAAAAAGGTTGATTACGTATTGGTAACTCTGTGTCAGGTTACCTATTTATTATGCATACTAACGTTTGGTGTAACTCGGTGTGTTGAATTTTTTTTTCAGTCATTACATTTTATATATTTAGTTTAAAAGTACTTTCAAAAAAATTATGGGCGTCATCAAAGACTGCCACATTGACGTACCTTACAAAAAATAATGCACACACGGCTCTTCATGTCAGTCCGCGAGCTAAGTAATTTAGAAGCGCTCTTAAATAATGATTTTTATCAGAGCAGATCTTTGCGCAAGCAAGCATGCTTTCCGTATCCAACGCGCGCCACTACCGCCCCGAATCTCTCGTAGAAGAGGAAAAAAACAATATACATGACATGCAAGAATAAGCTTGGTTCTTGTGTTCACATCGTTAATGCAAAGAATTCGTGGCGGCTTATTATTTGATCTATTTTGTAACGGGAAGCAGGCCTTTTGGCGTATGCGCATTAATATTTAACCGTGACTTGTAAAATCATATACATATTTTTTTTTTCTCGGAACGTAGTAAAATGCTTCAATGTTAGTTTTTTTTTTCCTTTTTTTTTTTTGCTTTTATTTTTGCCAAGTGCACCGATTTAGACCTTTTCTGTGGTGCACCAGAAATACTTTAATCTACTATGTACTTTTAAATATGCATTTAGGGTTACTTGCGAAAAGATATTTTTCTCAACATAATTATCAACTTTATTACAGAGACCTCTATAAATATTTTAATAAATTGCGTCTTGGGAAAAAATCCACTTTACAAATTATTCTGTGGGAACCACATTTTTCGCAGGAACAGTTTTAACATCATTGCTTTAGGCAGCCTGTTCATTTTTTCCTTCATTTGTTTTTATAGTCACTACAAAACGTCAGGCAGTTTCTGAGTTTGTGCACTAAACTCACTTATGACTTGGCAAATAAAAAAAAAACGAAGACGATGTTGCTTTTAGCAGTATAAGCATATCTTTAATAGAACACGAAATGTTGAAGACATAATTTGGTGTTGACTCAACTATATCCACGCTGTCAAAGAAATATTACCTTCGCTTCTTCTATCAAGCTGAATTATCTCCTCGCATTGTTTTTGTTAGTTTATCTCGTTAAATTTACGATAAGATATTTTTTTTAAGTTTTTAAACCAGCCGATAAAGTTATTGCTGTGTCATGCTATGAAAACATCAAAGTTTTTGAGAGGCAAGGTTAGCCGATGAGTATTGAGTAAAAGAAATATTTCGGCAGCTGCCTCACGTTCGTCTGTGCCTTTGCTTCAATTGTAAGTTTCCCTGGAAAATTATTTCCTTAGTAAGCGTTTTATTTATCCTATGATTCATAAGAGTACTGTGGGTTATATTGGATATTAAGTAGTGTGTAATGCTAATAAACAATTTAAGGAGCTGTTTTATGGAGCTGATGCATATACATTATGACTGTTCAAAACTTAGCAACTTGTGGATGTTTTGGGGGATGCCTTAAAATTATGTATAGTATATACAGTTTTTTAATTGTACTGCGATATTTTTTTTAAATAAACGAAGCATATATAATTATGAATAGGACTCTTCTGCATAATGTAGGTAGATAAGCCATACTTTCATATTCTTGTAAGATCAATTCTGGCCTGACAAAGTGCTCTCCTTCGATATATTATTCCTAATGCAGTAAGACAAGGATTTAATGGTGAAATCTGTGTCAACCATAATTCACTATGTAGTTTAACTCTAAACTATGAAGAAGTCTTTAGAGTAACAATTCATTTGATATATACAAATCAAAATTTAAAAGTGACCTCACTTCCACCCGATATTAGTTGCACATTCCATAAGAACCATAAATGCAGAGTGCTCATTCTACTTGAATATACATTACAGACGGTGATATCTGCGCACAAGAAATGACTAGTGTTTTGTTGCTCTTTTGATGGCGTGCTGTCGAGATATACAATACGCGGAGGCTCACTCTTGCCCCGTCAGGGGGCGTAAGCGCTCGCCTGGAGCAAATTTAATCGACTGCACTGAGAAGCAAGCGGCCGTTTCGGCCTGGATGTCACACAATAAACGCTTCAAGAACAATATCGGAGTGAAAAATCGTTGTCGTCACAGCCACACGCAACAGTAGCCTAAATAATGTAGGTGTGCGAAAACACTAAGGCAAGCCAACACAATGGCACAGCCTTAAGTTTGAAACGACGACTCTATTCCCTTTAATGTGAGCCTAAAATAAGTGAGGCTAGAACGGTGGTTTCTTGCAAAGTCAAACCCATCGCAAGGTTGTTTTGTGAAAAGATAAGCTCGAAGAACTAGATAATATAAAGGAGTAGTCTACAGATTGTTAAGGACACAGGGTAAGGGGAAATTTGAAAAAAAAAAAAATCGATATTTTTTTTTTCTTTTGCAATTTGAGAATTTCATTTCTTTCTGCACATTCTCCATTGTCACACTTATTTTAGAAAATCATATTTCCGACTAAAAAACAGTCTTCCCGAAAGAGAGTAGCGGGTGACCACACCCCCTTTTCGGTTACGCTCATTGTTTATCGTTAATTTTTCCTACAAAACATTTTAACGCAATTTCTAAAAACTTGACTGGAATCAGCGATATCTAAGAAATGTTCTGGCAACTACTGCACAGCTCTTCTTTAGCCAAGACAATCCCGAGACGCTGTGCACGTTCTTTTTTCCACGTGTGTGCTTTCATGCGCCTGTGTTCGAGCGCTGTTGGTTCCTCGGACTAGTTATTATACTTTGTGCCCCTATGCGTTCTATGTTGATATGTTAGGATGCACAGGGCAAAGAAACTGTTCAACAAGCGTCAATTCTATGGAAACCGGTACACTCCTCTCGCAAAAGCAAATGGATCCGGCGACGCATTGGGACCCCAAACGCAGAACCTGCCAGCTCCTCATCGTCAAAGTTTTCCAGTTTTTCTGTGTGGTTCCAAGAAGAGAATGTGCGACAGTGTGACAGTGGGTATGTTCTAATGGACATGGATGTTTTATGTGGCGTGATTACACAAAGCTGTGTGTGCAAACTGTGCGGTGGAAGCCTTCAGCTCGTTGAAATATCGTCGCAGCGAGTAGGTGTTGCCAGTGTTTACAGTCTGAACTGTGAAGCATGCAGCGCCTCACAACGGTTTGAGACCTCAAAGAAAACGAGCTCTGGCCTCTATGAAGCCAACCTTAGGCTGGTTTACGCCTTGAGGTGTATTGGTAAAGGAGCGGCTGCAGGAAGTGTACTCTGTGCCATGCTAAACCTACCTAAACCGCCAAGAAAGTTTGCGAAGCACAAGAAAGCTCCTAAGTCACACTGAGGCTGTTGCCAAGGGGTCGATGAAGCGGGCTGCTGAAGAGGCTGTGCAGCTGAATGATGGCGACAAGGACATCGCAGTCGCCCTTGATGGAAGTTGGCAAAAGCGTGGCCACACGTCTAACAATGGTATAGTGTCTGCGATCAGTGCAGACTCCGGGAAAGTGTTGGATGTGGAAGCGATGTCAAAGCGCTGTGCAAAATGCGGCGACCAGGATGCATCCAGCGACCCTCGGCACAGAGAGGTGTGCCAAAGCAACTACCAAGGCACCAGTGGTGGAATGGAAGTCACAGGAGCCCTGAACATTTTCTGCAGGAGTGAGGAACTCCATGGCGTGCGATACGTCAAGTATCTTGGGGACGGTGACAGTAAGGCCTTTTTGGCTGTGAAGGCAAAAAAGCCGTACGGTGATTCTGTTGAAATCTCGAAGCTGGGGTGCATAGGACACGTCCAGAAAAGGATGGGCACGAGAATACGAAGGCTAAAAAAGGAAAACAAAGCAGGAAAGCTGTCTGATAGAAAGGGCCTTTCTGGCCGATGAAGACTGACTGATGCAGTGATAGACAAACTGCAAGCATACTTTGGGTTGGCCATTAGAAGGAACGTAGGAAACCTAGAAGAAATGCGAAAAGCTGTTTGGGCAACCTACTTCCACTTATCTTCCACGGACAACGACCCATGCCATGGACTTTTTCCAAAGGGCCTCGATACCTGGTGTGCCTTCAACAAAAGTCTGTCAGAGGGCAAGCCGTTCGTCCATAAGGAGAACTTGTCTGCACCTGTCCTGGAGGCAATAAAACCCGTGTATCGGCAGCTTTCGCAGGCTGAGCTCCTGGAGAAATGCCTACATGGGCGAACCCAAAATGCGAATGAGTCATTTAACCATGTTGTTTGGGAACGCGTTCCGAAGAATGTCTTTGTTGGGCTACAGATTCTAAGGATGGCAACATTTGATGCTGTTATTACATTCAATGATGGTAGCATCGCACGAGCCAGCGTTTTGAAGTCCTGTGGACTGAACCCTGGGCGCAACACCATCAAGTGGCTGATGGAAGTTGACCGCACTAGAATCTACTTTGTGGACCGAGCAGCACGACAGCTCACAAAAGAGGCCCGGCAAGCGAGGCGACAGGCCGAAAAGCGCAAAAATGACTATGACAGTGACTACCAAGCTGGTGGCTATTGAACAAAAAACTCTGATGGTGTTGGTGCCAGTAAAAAAATTGTTATTCACCTATTTTTTTACTTTAAACTCGATTATCTCGAAACATTGTTTTTTTTTATTACATAGGTACCATTAATTCCTAAACCTTACAGGATAGAGTGTTGATTTTTTTTCCTGCCACCTACATTGGAGGTGACAAGTACTGAACTGGAATTAAGAACTTTAACTTAACAGTTCTTATGTTACAAATTTTTAAATACACAGAGAGCCAGTATTTCAGTGCTAAAAGAAAAAAAATCATCTAAAACAAAATTTTAATTTGGTATTAACAAGTCCAGTTCAGTGGAACGAGCACAAAATTTGGAACAAAATGACATATCTATTGCGGGTATACCCCTATTAGTTACCAAGGAATATGTTCCTCAACATGGCCTAAAATGCATGGGAAGTATAGGCGAGTATAGGCGAGTAAAATAGGCGAGTGCTGTATTCACCGTGTATGAGGCTCAGCTGAATAAAAATAAGGCGATAATCATCATGTTAAGTGAGCTAAGTCATTAAAATTTGTCAACTGATATTTTTATTTATTGGTTTTAGGAGACGTTTGAAATTTTAGTATTGACAAAATTCGAATTAGAATCAAATAAAATATAGTTTTAAATAGTGGTAGTTTGTTAGTTATTTTTCAATCAATCACCGCTTTCCGTGGCAGGATTTTAAAATAACGATGGCCAACCTCTTGAAACATTCAGTGGGGAAATTGTATAAAGAAGATATCAAATATATATTGAATTTCGTTAAATATAATTTGAAGGTAACTACATTTTTGGGTTATGGGGAAGATTACCAATGTTTCTGGAGAAAAGCAAAATTACCATTTTTGTGAGTGTAATCCATAAGATACAATGCAAAAAAAAATTGTGGAGCCCTGGAAAGAACTTTATACGCGTCGTAAAGTTTTATTAACGCTTACTTATATTTTATGGGTGTCATATAAAACATTTCCGGGGAACAGTGCGATGTTTGTGAATGTTTAGTTAAAATTAAAATATGGAGCATGAGCTATGGCGTTCATGTCTCTGACACTTGCGGATTTCACAAAAGTGAGTCGTAAGCCCTCACCATAATTGCACTTCAAAGAATGAGGTAGTCGTTTCAGTCATGTCATCAGTATCTTGGCGACCTGACATTGGTAAGTGAGCCGACGACGCAAGTGACGAAGTGACTGAAACGATTACACCTATAACTTATTTTTTTAACGTTCTCTAAGCCCAAAGTTCCATGACATAAATGCTTACCTTACTCATTAACGTTGCAAAATATTGTGGGAGATAACTTCCTTTCTGTTGGTGAAGAGCATCGTCGTAGACTATTCTGGTTTCAACCACAACTGTACGTGGCAAGTTTCCCAGGTATTGTCTTCCCACTATATGGAGATTTGAAGGTGAAACGTTATAATAAAATGGTTGGGCCCGTAGTATCCCGTCGCTTCTTAAGCATTATTGCGGGGTGCGCAAGGCATTATAATAAAAATGTGTCTTCGTTCGAGGTACGATGCCAAAAAAACGCCTAAGTTGGCAGAAGTGTGGCAAGCATAGGCGCCTAACTTGTGCCTTTTAAGGTTTTGCTCCATTCCACTTGTCTGTGACCAAGTACTTTGCGTAACTAGAGCCGTAGTTCGGCGATTCTGATGCATGCCAAAGTGTGTCTTCTTTCTGGACAGCCACAAGAGCGTCAATGTAAGTGCCATACTTGAGCCATAACTACCAAAGTAAACCTTAATTTAAGGATTCAGGAGAATTCGAAAAATTAACTTTCCCCTTGCCAGCTACTCGAGTGCAAAATCAGTGCCAAGATGCCAGGGAAACCCCAAAGACACGTTGAAGTTTGGCTTTTTTGGTTAGGCAAAATATTGCTACCTAACGTACACTAGAACAAAACTAAAATGCGTTCGACGCACGATTGTCACATGTCCTCACCCTCCTTAGTGTCGCCAAATGAAAAAAACAACTGCTCCTGTTTAGATTTGATTTTGGGTCCTCGGAGTCTGATACGGCGTCTACCCTGCAGCCACAATCGCTTCTTTTTTCTTTTATTAACAGGCGTTGACTGTGATCAGTCAAGGCAAGGTACGCACACTGCAATGTTCGCCTTTGCAACACATCTCATGTTAATGGTATGTGTTGAGGAGACCACTTTACGTCATTATCGCGCAGCGCTCGCTGGATGGCAGCAGTTACTGTAACGCCGATCTAATTTCAGGGGCGTCCTTTGTCTAATTTGGAAGTCTTCTGGACAATGGCGCGTGTATCTACGCGCGCGCACAAATATTTAGTGCATTGTGCGGCTTCGAAATTAGAACTGTCTTGTGCAGCTGCGGCAAAACATGTCTCCCGCCTTAGTGTAGAAAAATCACGAGACACCAAAATTAAATATAAAAAATGCTTTGGGCAAAATTAGTATATATTTTTGCTTCAATACCTAACAGGCCATCCGCACCCTACGAATACTCTATCGGTTCTTCATCCCCATGCATAAATGATCCAGCGCCAGCGGGGCCTGCCCTGATTGCATAATTCTAACACTGCACAAATATCGGTTTGAGAGTAACTGGATTTGGCATCCCCATTTCTTGCTTCAGGTGGATCAGAGTGGGAGGATGGTTTTTTTGTATCAACTTCGGGACCAAAGATAACCCACAATGTCTACAAATGTGAAGTTTGTATGAGCCGTATCTAGATCGCAGCGGCTCGAGGGGCTAACACTATCAAGCTGAGATTTTGGATGTCGACAAATAGAGAGAGGCTTTGCGCGCGCGTTGTATTCTAGCTAATTCATATCGACCGCAGTGATACTGACCCAGTCGTCTGTCGTATTGACCGGAGTGATATTGACCCAGTCGTGTGTCTAAGTGACAGCTCATATTTGCATAAGGGGGAAAGATGCCAGACGCTTAACGTACTATCAGAAAATAAACCCCAACTCTTACGCTTGCTTGGCGATTTGGGACCAGCATGATAGATTTGCACTAAACCCGCAGGAAGGGTGCCTAACTCTGTCTCTTTTTGGGCGGATTTAGGTTTAGATAGGCCAGATTGCAACAAAACTATATTTGGCGCAGTAAACTTAACTATGGTGCTTGCGCCGCGATTTGGGCCCAAAGATGCCCAGACGAACTGGGAAGAAATTAAGCCTAACTTTGACGCTTGTTTAGCTATCTGGTCCCAAAGGTCCCAAGTAATATCCGAACGACAAGGCACTAAGCCTAACTCTGGCACTTGTGTGGCTACTTTGGCCGAGAGCGGCGAGAGGACCCCGTAATCATTACGAAGCGAAACCTCACTTTGGAAGTTTTTCAAGATTTGTGCCCAATATTGCCAGATGGCAGACTTGCTGCAAGAGAGTAAGCCTAACTCTAGAACTTGTTTGCCGATTTAGGGCCAAAGGTTCAGATCACATCGAAACTACCACGGAGTGAGTCCTAACTATGGCGTTTGTTTGGTGAATTAGCGCCAAGACGCCCAGAATGTTTCCAAAGAAGGTAACGCTTGGCCCGACTTTGGATTGTTCGGTTTCTCAAGGTCTTAAACAACCAGACAAGAGCCCGTTATTTGCCCAGACCTCTTCATAGCTATGGTCTTCCGGATTCGGTGAACAAAACAAAGGGCCGGTTAAAAAACTAGTAATTAAAAAATTACCTAAAAAACTCTTGCATACTTTATTCAACCGCGCCTAGAAACCACCGGCTTGGAAGAAACAATGAAAAGCGCCGTAATTTTGTTTTGAAAGCATAAATGAAGGCTTACAAATGTTCAGAACGATGACTCTAACACTGGGATGCACAACCGCAAGATGGTGTTAAATACTGCAATTGAAAAGAAAGCAAAGGGTCTGAAAACGCTCCTCGTGAAGGAAAAGCTTTGTGATAATAATAACTTGTTCTGCATGGAATGAGCATAAGAACTCGAGGTGTGTTATTGACCTTTAATATTGATAGACCGCCGAGTGAAATATATGGTCATAGTCTATAAAGTAGCACTTAAGGCAATTAATCATTAAATGTTCGTAATAATATATTATGAGCTATAAATACTAAAGTGTTCACATTTTGTTTAAGGTTCTGAATTAAGTTCATGCATTTTATCGCGTCAATGTTCAATTAAGAACTATTCGAGTTTACTCACCTCTGTGGACATTGCCCCTTGCTTTTCGTTCTGTGAAGCTGTTAAATCAACTGTAAAATAAAGAAAAACTGCATTTACATCACGAATCATTTTTGGCCAAACATATGTTCAGGGGAGGGAGGGGGGGAGAGTAAAAAAAACAAGCGCGCTTCTGTTTGGTAGGAACAATTCATTACAAAAATATATTACACCTTGAATTCAATTATTTGGTTTATAATACTTATCAATGCCATTGCGTATTTTACATTTAGTCATAATACCAAAGTCAGGTTAGCGTAGTGAAAAAGGGAAAGGAACAAAAAGAGCAATAATGCACCATAATTGTAAGTATTCGAAAGATATGATTCGACAACACAGAGGAACAAAGTGCGCACTACTGAAGATTACACAAATTAAAAATCATATATTTAACTTAATAATAATTTTATCAATCGAAGAACTGATTAAGGTCATATCCACCAGGTAGAAAATTTTTTACCTAATTTTTGTACCTATCATTTTAAATGGATTGTTAAGTGGGTCTTACCATAATCTGCATACATCGGGATGGAAGTATCATTCAACTTTGATATCACATAAGGAACGATTCCGTCTTTTGATCGGGGATTAGATAACACTGGCTTGATTGATAAGGTGTCAGTGAGGATACCTCTCTGCAAAAGTTAATTCAAAATAAGATATTAAAATGCTTATGGTCAGTAAAATTTTAATAAGATATTAAAATGCTCATTAAAATGCTTATTTAAATGCGTATTAAAATATATATTTTATTCGCTAATTTCATCCGTAATGACACGTGTAAATCATACCACTTTGACGTGTCCATTAGCTTCTTGGACCACAACAGAGGAGCCGTGTTCCTCTGTTGTGGGCTCCTGAAGCCTCGAAAAATGCTCTGCGAGTATGCCACCATCGTGAGACAGATGTTCGAAGACCCCGACGGCCGGGAATTCTTCGAGTGCTTCCGAATGTCACGAGCCAGGTAGGGTGTGCTGCTTTTTATTTTGGATTAGTTTCATGTTATATATCAAGTGGCGTTCCACATGGGCCCGCTCGTCGCTCGCAGTGAAAGCACGTTTATATCATTTTTAACGCAGCAGGATCGCAAGAGCAGCTTTCGTAAGAGTCACACGCTTGTCAAATTTTACTGCGTCTGTGCTATAAAAAAATAGCAATGGCATGCACATGTGCAGCTCGTACGACACGCTCTTTCGGTCCACTAAATCTGGTCACGGTGTTGTGCTTCTTTGAGTGCATGCATGACGGAAGCCCGTTGTGCTTCTTTGTCCTTTGTGCTAGCTAAGATGTGTGCTTACAAGCTGTTTATGAGTGAATTCTGCACGAAAGCTCGCGCTGCAGAACCCAGGGATCTTGGGTTCAATCTCCACCCCTGCCCGTTTTGATCTGGCTGAGCATCGTACCACCAGACGTTCGTGTTTCACTACTGCGTTACGGGTGTTAGAGACCCCAGGCTAGCGGTCGTACAGTACTGCCTAAAAACTGGTCTGCAGCGCGTACCAGTGTCGTTCACCTTTTTAACCTGCCGGATGTAGCTCGCAGGCACAATGGTTACAGGTAGGCACGTAGCCAGGATTTTGTTTCGGGGGGGGGGGGGGGGGGGGGGAGGGAATTTTCTCGGTCGCAGAGTGCCCGAGGCTGGTAAAACATTGTGTATAAAAAAAGAAATAAACAAGTGAGTTGCTTCATTACAATTGTAGTGAACAAGTATGCCCTCAAAGCTGGAAGCTTAGCACATTTGCTTATTAATAACATCCCACTGCCTTTCCGGTCTCTTTGCAGCCAGCAAGCCAACCACTGCCTGCCTCTACAAACGGCCTTTCTAAAGGCCACTCATATTTCATATTTGCATTGAAGATGCCGTTTCATCGGGTTGCAACCACCTCCGAAACCGTGTCAATCAATTATTAAAAGCAGTATCGAGTTCTTTCACTTGTCCCGGTCCTTGTGGTCGCTACGATACCTGTCGTAGATCTAGGGGTACCGCTAAACTAGCTGAACTAATCCATAGGCTTTCTCGGGTACGTCAAACGCAGCGGCAAGTTCAGCCCTCTTCGCGGCAGCGGCACTCTTCTTTGCAGCTTGAGCGAGCTGCTTTCCTCACGTCGGAGATGGGCGGGAAGTTCATCGCCGGAGCTTTCCTTGCAATCAAGCACGGAGCGATTGAGGCATTCGCACGCGGAACCACGTGAACGCCGGTGGCAAGAAGGGCGGAGGAGGGAAGCGCGCCGCGCTGTTTGGCCGCGGAGAAAATACGGAAACCTACGTCACGACCCGGGAAGGAGAAAGTTGAAAATTTTTTAACTCTTCAGTCCGGGTGCCGTAAGCCGTAATTACGTCACCACCCGTACGGAGGGAGCGCTGACGTCACTATGGGTTCCGGCGCCCGGGTGTGCAGTCCGGGTCTGTTTGAACCGGGCTTTACTTGTAGGGGCTTTCCTTCATTACATTCAGTGAAAGCTACACCTTGGCAGAATTATTTAAGACTTGACCTGTGCAATATTTTTTTTGTTTTGTTATTTCTGCATTGGGGAGTCGCTGACATTCATCATACTTGTTAAGAGTGATATGCAGAGGACAACACTTCCCTTCTTCTTGTCCAACATTAAACATAATACCAGAAACCTGTCGGCGCACAGCTGCCTGCTTGTAACTGAAATTAATGTTTATTATAACGCGACCCGACGATGACAAAATTTGATCTTAGACTAACGCGACGAAATGTTAAAGGAAGCAGCCAAACAACTTGCGAAATCGCCGACCAGACGCGAGAGGTCGCGGGATGCGGTTTTATGAATGATGGCGGTACCTTAAAGTGACGTACGATTCTCCAACCGTACGGACAGTGATCCTGACTGCCAATCAGACGTGACATTTTTAAGCTGAACTGTCAGCCTCCGGCACTCCGAGCAAATATCATTTCAAAAGAATATGATTTCCGGGAATTTGAATGCCCTTATCCCAGCACCTCCAAGACGGCGAGGATGTGGCTTTTGTCAGTCGTTATTTCCGCTTCCTTTCCCAATATTTAAAAACAATTCGTACTTATTCTGCGTGACTGTCACTTTATATAAGGCATTTGTGAAATTTGATCAAGCAATATTTGAATTTAAATAAAGAAAACTTAGTAAGGGTTATGGTGAGAGTAGATGCAATAAAATTAATTTTGTTCTCTTTTTTACTTCCGGTTTTATAATATCGGCAACTGACAGCGGTTCAGCCTTCGCCGAAATCCAATTTATTTTGGTTCAAAAGAACGACGGAATCCACGCCAATAAAATCTTGCTCTAGTAACAAAAACAATCATCGTTAAAACCTCTTAACATTTTGACGCGGCTCAAATTTGAGATACAAATTTAATAACCCATATATATATACATACATACCAGGGTGTCGAACAGGAACCGAACCGAACCGAAAACCGGAACCGAACCGGTATTTTTTTCAGAACTGAACCCGAACCCGAACCGTTATATTGTTATCGTGATGAACCCGAACCGGAACTGAACCGGAAAAAAAATGACGGTTACTGGCTCATGTCAAAGCGGTTCGGCCACGCGCTGTTGACAATGAATGTGCTATCAATGCCATTTCTTTTTTAAGTGCCGTCAACTGACACACACCTCGCTTACATATTTTTCTTCTCCACTCAGTCTTAGGAATATAAACGCTGCATCCATGAATCTTGACAAACGCTGCATCCATGAAACTTGACATAGGAACCAGTATTGCGCTGGTCGCGGCTTGCACGGAAAAAAGAAAATTGAAAGGCTGTGCAGAAAAAAAAAAAAAGATATTGCGTCACGGGATTTCATTTTCCTACAATCTCGTAAATCCTAAATGCTGCTGTGTGCTCATTTCATAACAGGTTTCTAGAACGCGCGAGTTCTTGAAGCTTGCTTTCAGCAGAATGAGAAAAGAAAAGGCTGTGGAGTTTGATAATAATGCATCCGGTTTCGTATAGGCACTTAGAAGCTAACATATTTGTGAGACAGCGAACTCTTCTATTCTAATATTTATCCTATTACGTCCTTCTGGCGTTGCGTTCGGTGAAGTGTTTTTCATATTCCGTATCTTGTTTAATGAAAACTTCTTTAAAGGGGCCCTGCAAGCACCTTTTTCTGGTTTTTAATTTGCACCAAACCTGAGCGCACTGACCGTAGTAACTTAATGTAACTTTTCTTTTCTCGAATTTCGCTTTATTTTAAAAGTTATAGGCAAATTAGAATTGCAAAAACAAGTAAAAAAGAACCTCCCTCATGACGTCCTTGGTTGCTTGAGTGACCGTGAACTAGAGCAGGCGTAGTGAACTCATCGAGCGCTCGCGGCTGCTGCACTGCGTGTCGACGGCGCGAGAGGGCGCCACTAAAGCGTTTTCTGGATAGGCTGTATACACCGGGCAGCTAGAGCGGCTCTCATTGGATTTGCTGCGCGATTAAACACTAATTTGGCATGACACTTCATCGGCCACAAACGACAGCAAACACGGGATAAAGATCAGTTCAGAATGGGAGCCACTTCGCGCTGCCGTACCGCGAAATGGCCAACACGCAAGACAAAGCTACTCGCTGAAGGCCTTCGGAACGCTCGGAGGCGGTCGGCTCTTCCAGTCCGTAAACGACCGCAGCGCCGCCGCGTACATCCGGGATCTTTCCGTGTTGGCGCTTGATCCCACTACTCTTTTCTAGTATGCGCCGTCTTTTCACCGCTTGGTGGTGGGTATGTCGACGGGTCATTTCCTGTTTCCGTACTTTATAAACTGCATTCGTTTCTTTTCTGATCTAAAATACTGAACAGAAACTACTTTTATAAATAATTTAAACGGTTCGCGCCACTTATGTTTTGTATTTCGACTAAAAAGAACCTTTTAGCGGCTCTGACCTGTAGTAAGCCCAGGACCAAAGACGTCACATTTCGCGCGCTTTCGGTACCGCGGGTCGCCCCCGTCGGTGGAGGAGGTTTCCGCGTCGTCCGGTTAAAATATGATTCACTGTTGAATGCACCTTTGCATTTAATTGCATTATACTGATATTTAGTTACTCTCTCCGTGCACGCTGGCTTGCCCCAACCCCAAGAGACGTGGAAACCGCAAAAAAGGTAGACGCTTAAATATGATTGCAGGGCCCCTTTAAGCATCTAATTTGACTTACCGAAGGCTAGTTCAAATAAAGAAAGCTGTATTTTCTCCCCACTGTTCCTTCAATTGCTTACACGCCGAGGTGGCGGGATAGTTGGCGAGTTCTACTTGTAAGTGGGTTTGTAAGGAAGTCGCGGATTTTACAGCTATTGCGTCGGACCCAATTAGATGAGGTCCGAATGCGTAAACGTCGGTGAGGTAACCTTTGAGTGCACATAAAGAAACCATTCCTGGTAGAAATCCCTGAGCCTTACACTACGATGTATCCCGTTTCGTATGTGCTGATTTCAGATGTTTTATTTGTAACTTATTTTGATGTTGCAACTTGTCATTTATAATTTCCGAACCGGTTCGCGAACCGGTTCAGCGCCCCGAACCGGTTCACGAACCGGTTCGCGGATCGAATTAATCGAACCGGAACTGAACCGAAACAAAATAAATTTGCCTGAACCTGAACCGTAACCGAACCCGTATTTTTTTCGGTTCGA